GAAAGAAAGAAAGAAAGAAAGAAAGAAAGAAAGAAAGAAAGAAAGAAAGAAAGAAAGAAAGAGAGAGAAAAGAAAACTAGAAAGGAAGAGAGGAAGTTGAGGGAAGGGGAAAAGAGAGAAGGGGAGGGAGAAAAAGTCATAGAAGACAAAGAAGGGAAGAAAAATCAAGGGTTCCTATAATTCTTTTTTATTTATTTGTTTGTGTATATAGGTAGGGTCTCATGTAGCACAGTCTGGCTTTGGACTTGCTGTGTAGTTGTTGGTAACCTTGAACTTCTGCCTCCGCCCTCCAAGAACTGGGATTACAGGCATAAGCCACCACACCAAGATAATGAAGTGCTGGGATCAGACCCAGGTCTTCTTCACACATGCCAGGCAAAAGCTCCACCAACTGAACTACATCTCCAGCCCTGCCCCCAGTCCTTAAATAGCTATTAAACACATACCTCTTTCTTTCTAGGATCTAAACATAAGACCATGGTTGAGGCTCGTAATGGAGCTGGTCCAATTAAGTCCTATCCAAGACCTGGGTCAAGACTAAAGATGCAAAATGGCAGTAAGGGTTCAGGACTCCAGAATAAGACGTTTCATTGTGAAATCTGTGATGTCCACGTTAACTCAGAAATTCAACTCAAACAGGTAAGGTAGCCCAAATTAGACATACTTACCCAGTTAAGTCATCTCTGTGTGTGGCTCCTCATCTAAAAATGGTTCTCTGTGTGCTCGATGTAAAATTTAACATGCAAGTGCTATGTAGAAGAGAAGGTCATTACCCAATATCTGAGCCGGAACTTCCTACCTCTCAGCTTCCAGCCCAGGAGCCAAAGATAGACAGATGGGCACAAAAGCTACCAAGAGCATGCGATGCATCATTAGCCAAGGGTCAGTGACCTGTGACGCTTGTCTCCTAAACACTCAACGTCTGGTCAAGGAAGACATTCTTGGTGGTGGCCGACCGTGACAACTTGGGGAATCTAGTAAGACTGTAGAGAACATAGAGGGACAGGGGCATTGGACTGGAGGGAAAGTCCTCTCCTTGAGGGGGAATGGAGAAATCAGCTATCATTATCTAGGAAGAAAAGCTTTCAGGAAGTCAGCTAATGCACCATACTTCTTTCAGCACATTTCAAGCCGAAGGCATAAAGACCGCGTGGCAGGAAAACCGTTGAAGCCGAAATACAGCCCTTACAACAAGCTCCAGCGGAGCCCAAGCATTTTAGCTGTAAGTTCCCTTCGCACACCTGTTTGATGGGACAGCCTTGCTGGATTGAATGGTGGTCTTAAGGAGAGCCTCAGAACAGGTGGTCACTAGACTCCCAGGCATGAGTAATCAATCCATTAATTTTTTTTTTCTGTTTGTCAATCATCTAATTGCTGGAGTGGGGATCTACTCCAGAACTTCCTACCTACTTAATTTGTTTTTCTATCTATTTGTTTGTTTGTTTATCAATCATCGAATTGCTGGAGTGGGGATCTACTCCAGAGCTTCCTACCCACAAAGCAAGAGTTCTAGCACTAAGCTAACAGTTGTGAATTCATGAGAGCCAGGTGCTTGATCCATGGTGCACATGTGGAGGTCAGAGGAAAACTTGGCGGGGTTGGCTCCCTCCTCCTACCTTGTGGGTCCTGGGGAATCAAGTTCTGGTTGTGAGGCCTGGCTGTAGGCACATATATCCACTGATCCAGGTCAGGCCAGGCAGCAGGTGAAGGCGCCTTCACCTGCCCAGCCAACTCACAGGTCCAGAAATGTTAGAATGAGCTGCTTAATCCCCCACTGCAGGGAACTCTGAAGCAATCTATCTTTGAACAACCAAGGGGAGCCACTTTAAAAGGCAGTGCCCCAGTGCTGGAGAGAAAACCGGTCAGAGGTTAAAAGCACTTGCTGCTCTTGCACAGGACCCAACTTCGCTTCCTAGCACTCAGGACAGGCAGCTCACAACAGCTGCAGGGGATCTGGCACCTTCTTCTGAATGTAGCAGGCATCTGCACTCATGCACACATACAATTAAAATAGAAATAAACCAGTTTTTTTTTTAAGAGCTAATGTCTTTCTCTTTTAGTAAATCCTTGTCAAAGACATACTTCTTTCTGTAAGAGATGAAGAAAATAAAAGCCTAGAACAAGAGCAAGTGATGGCTGGGAAATTCTGGGAAGGTTCAGACCTGGGATGAGGTACTACTTTTGTGACCAAAAAAAAAAAAAAAAAATCTATATATTTAGTATCTCCCCATTTTCTGGTATGTGCTTATATACATATGAAAGTATATGTATTGCTCTTTCTTTTCATGTTGGTAACTAGCCCATCTCACCTGCTCTCAATATGTACTTTTTCAGTCAGTTTCTTACACAAATACCTAGAGACTTGAGCAACAGGTATCATATAAATACATAGATGGATGGATTCACAGATCCCTGGGGCTGGGCCTAATATGGTGTTTAATCTGAGATGGAGATGAGCCGGGCCTGCTGGAGGGGGGGCCTAGATCACCTTCTAGCCTCACCAGAGCTACCAGTGGATGCTGCAAGCAGGTAGTACCTGCATTAAGCAAATGCAGTTGGCACAGCCCCCTCAGATTGCAAAAGACAGAAATTTAGGGTTGATTTCTTCCTGGGAGGTCTCCACACTGGGATCCCTTTAAGTGGAAAAGGTTCCCGGCCCACTTAGACCCACTGTCAAGCACAGAATTTGATTTAATTTTTTTTTCAGAGAATGCTCATCATGGGGACAGTACAAGAAGTGCAAATTGATTTTTATGTTCTCAACTCCTCATGGGTCCCTAATGCTCTACACCTCAATTACCTAACCCCAGTGCAGTCTGTCTAAGAGAAGTGAAGAGTCACACTTGCCCAAAACCAAAACTGAACACGTTGGATGCTGTGGTGCATCCGTAATCTCTGCACGCTGGGAGGCTGAGGCAAGTTCAAGGCCAGCCTAAGCTTCATACCTCTCTAGACCACATCTTCTGAGATTTGAGCTGAGCTGGTTGCCTAGGCAGGACCCTTCTGGGTGTCTCTCCAGAGACCAAAACAGAGCTGAAGCGTCAAAAGGCAAGCCACACCCAGAGCCACTGAGCCCAGTGACAGCCATCATTTGCTGACTTCTCAAAGTCAAGATGCCAAGAAACTCAATTCGTTCTGTAGTGTCTCAGTGGTGCTGTGACTCGTTAATGGTGTTCTCACCCTGTCTCCCGGTCTTGTCCCTTCTTAGGCAAAGCTCGCATTCCAGAAAGATCTGATGAAGCCTCTGGCCCCGACTTTTCTGTCCTCGCCCCTGGCGGCCGCAGCTGTGTCCTCTGCGCTGTCCCTGCCGCCCCGGCCATCTGCCTCTCTCTTCCAGGCCGCAGCCATCCCTCCTGCGCTGCTGAGGCCTGGCCACGGGCCCATCCGGGCCACTCCTGCCTCCATCCTCTTTGCCCCTTACTAAATACTTGCAGCCCGCAACAGGCCAGGCCAGTGGAAAGGTGTAGAAGGAAAGCCCAAAGGATTCAGCAAAGTAAGCCTTGTGTGTGTGACTGTAAGTACCCCACCCACCCACCCTCTGACAAAGTGCAGGCCACCGCCCAGCCCAGCCTCCAGCCACAAACGGAAGCCAGGCTCAAGGGCACTAACCCCTTATTTCCCCGTGTCCCCTCCGTCCTACCCTAGCCAATTGGCGTATCTGAGATACTTAAGTTTCTTGAAAGTATATTGATCAGAAAAAGAAAACCAACCTCTGTATTCCCATGGACGTGATCTGGCTTAGAAACAAAATGGAATCTTCCTGACAGACTTGAACGGTAGACTCTTCCTCGGTCGGATGTCTGTAAATAACTCCGAAATCCAAGCGGGCATATTCTAGTGTGGAACAAAAGCCCATCGCAAGTGCTTAATTGTGGATACCATCCTCCCCATGGATCATGGCGTTTTTCCTTTTGGTGTACTAGTGTCCACAGGGATTGTGTACTGTTCTAGACCTGAGTACTGTTGTATCCCGTGTAGTACTAGATCGTAACTCCTGTCGAATTAAACTTTTTTTTTTATTGCTGTGTAATTGTTAGGAAGCAAACGTAGCTTTGAAATTTTTTCTCTTTAAGAGAACAAAAGATAATGTATTTTCTTTATTTCGTGTTTTATTTGGAGAGATTTAAATGAAATAGAAAGCCATATAACATAGCTATAATTACTACCTGTTTGCTATTTTTGTTTTAACTTATTTTTGTAGCACCCTCACTGGTTTGAGTTGCTAAGCAAATGTGTACAGAAACAAAAAGAGCTTCCTAATTGCACATGTTGGCACCTTCTGTACATCTGCAAGAAGACAATGAATCCATGTATTTCCACATAATGATCTTCATTTTCAACCTTTGTTTTTCATTTGTAATGATGCTACATAACTCTGTGGCTCTTTGATGCAATAATGTACAGAAGATATATAATTTATAATTGAACAATCTGTCTTTCTGTTCAGTGACTACGTCATAGGTCATGTGACCATGCCCTCCCCGTCAACCCCCCCCCAAAAAAAAACAACAACTGATGTTAAGAAGACTGGAATGTTTGTGATATCGGGGCAAGAGGTATCATAAAACAACACAGAGAGTGAACTCTTTTTGAGGGCCTATATCTGCAATCTGTAAATGGTAAAATGTCTGTGTATTTTTTTAAATGTACCTTTTCAATAAAAGTACCAAAAAAAAAAATCTGCTGGTGTTTTCGGTGGTGTTTTCTCTGGAGACTCCTGTAATTTCACAGCACCTGATGAGAGATGTCTAATGGGTAGGAGGACTGCCTCTTACATATTTCACACTTTCGCATGCGTACTTAATTGTCATGTTTACTCATCGCTTGCTGCTCACAGCATCTGTGTGAGGCCAGGCTTCCCCACCACATTCTCTCTGACTCTCCGTGAAGCTGGGCCAAAGTAGTAATGTTGTCCAAAAAGGTAGCAGCCTGTTAAAACCCTGTGGCTCTGATTTCTTAAGACTTGGTCCAGGTCCTCTGAATCCCCAGTTCATCTTTTATCCCAGTCAGTGACATTTATGGAGGCTTCCAGTTTCATGCCCCTCCCTGGCCCCTCCCTCCGACCAGGACACCCCATTCTAACACTTTGTAAGCATAGTGTTTAGTGCACCACTGTTTGTCCTGATGAGCTGTTATTTCTTTACCAACTAAAACTTTGTAGACCAAAATAACAACCGGTTTATTACATCAGGATTTCACAGGCAGGTAATTCCAGAGGGCATTTGACTGAGTTGTGCTCTGTTCCCTCAGGCATCGTCAGAGTTCCCATGATCATATTCAGGCAGAAGCTGGCCTGGGCTGGGGCTGGGCTGGGGCTGGGCTGGTATGAGAGGCCCAGATAGCTTCACTGGCCTGTCCATCCCTGTGGAAATGACTAAGTTGGACTCCAGTGAAACAGTCTACCAGAGTGTGTATATGTGGTTCTTCATATCTTTCCAGTTGAACTGGATACTTACGCAGTGCATTTAAAAAGGCCTGGCTGGGAGTCAAAGGCTTCTTTATAAATTAGTCCAAAGGGTCCTAGAGTGTCACTTATGCCACACCCTACTGATCAAGAAAGACACTAAACCCATCCAGATCTAAGGGAGGACTATTAGACTTTGGTTCTTAAATATAAAGAAGAGCAAAGAATATGCCACCATCTTTAATCTATCACACCATTGTATAATTTTGAGGAAAAATGGTAACAAAATTATTATAGACCCTGTCTTCAGACCCTTAGCCCAAACCCTGTTACTCTTTAAAATGGAGACTTGGGTTGGAGTGGGGAGTAGATATTTTCTTTAACACAGAAGCCAGCAGATGGCAGCGTCGCTGTGATGGATTAACAATAAGGGAAGTAAATGGCTTCTTCCACCCAAGAGTTCATCCAACTGTCTGAAAGATGGTTGACCTTAACATCTTATGCTAATAAAGAGGTTACTTTTTAAAAACAAATTTCCATGAATAGCTTTATTATCAATCTATCATAAATAGACATAAAAGCCCACCAGCCCCTCCCACAACAAACAAGCTGAATAACATTTAACAAAAAGAGCCACTGGTAGGACATGGTGGTGTGTGAAACTCTCAAAGGGGCAAAAACAGAAGAAAATAAAAATGAATGTTAAATGAAAAAAATCCAAAACAACCAAATCACAACACTTACTTTAAAACCCGGCAACTGGGAGGTAAAAGCTACAAGTCCCAGGCCAGAGACAAAACATCCACATTATAAAATAAGAACCCCCCCCAAAAAAAATGGATGTGGTAGAGGCAGAGGGATTAATGAGGTTGTCATCCCCAGCCAAACCATGACACACTCTCAGAAATCCCATGACCTGTCATCTGTGCTTGGTACCCAGAAGAGAGTTTGAGTTTCTCCAAGGCTTCCAAAGTTTCTGGGAGCCCAGGGTTGGCCTTTTGGGAGGACTCCTCAGGGTTCTGCCCATGGTAGTACTTGTTCAAATTTTTGTTCTCGTAGAAAGCAGGGCTGATGCAAAGCGACAGTGTGAACCCAGTTTTCAACCTGCAAATAACAGTCCACTCCACCCAAGGCTCCTCTTGGGCGCTAGCACTCTGTCACGTGACTTGTGGCATACACTGTGCCTCAGCTTCTTTCTGTGGGCCTTGGGCAACTGCGTGAGCATCTTTTTCCTTTCTCTTTGGGGATCCTTCACCATGGGGTCTCTTTCAGTTTGAATATGTCAGCCAGGGCCCGGCAGATCTCCATGTTTTGGTATGGGTTCACCCCAAAATGTCTTTTTAGCGCTTGGTGCTGCTCCCAGGTGAGTCTGGAGTGTTGATTCTCCCCGGAGGACAACGTCAAAGTTCCCACCATCTTGGATGCAATCACTTTGGTTTCAGTTTAACAGGTTACTTTTAGAGTGTCATAGAAGTCTAGTTTGGCATTCAGAATTTGGATTTTGTTTTGTTTTATTGTAACCCGTTTGAACTCTACCTAACACTAGTTAAATTTGACCTGGAGGCTTGATATATGCCGTACTCTGTGAAGGAATTCTGTTTCCTTTTGACACTCGGAGAACTTTTATGTTTATTTTTCTGGACTTCAGTGGCAGTTGTATTTGATTTACCTTGCCTTGTCCTCTGTCTTGTGGAAGCTTATGGCAGCCTCAGAAGTTTCCAAATGTCAGTATTTAAATAGACCCAAAAGCGTATTGATTAGATTTAGAGTTGAGAGTTTTAAACCACCCCAAGGAGGAAGCACAAAAGAATAGCAATTCATTAGAATTCATGCCCCCAAAAGGAGCCATGAGTAGCTTCAAGCTATGATTTATGAAACACTATTAAGCAGGCCACATCTCATCATCCATGCCGATCCTGAGGTGTCAAGAGTTGGGCAGCCCCAAGGAAATACACGTATTTGAACTAATGCCTCCTCATATGTCATTCCTAAAGGAAAGAGATGACTACTGAGCTCTGCCAACTGTGCAAGTTTAAAACAAAACAAACCACGTGCTGCAGACGACAGGAGGGGCCCAGGCAAGAGAATCAGAGGAGCAAGATCAGCTCAAAGTCACACTCAGCTACATAGTTCTAGGGCAGCCTGAGCTACAGGTGACCCTGCCTTGAAAGACGGGACAAACCACAACCACCCTGCTTCCTCACAGTCCAGCTACAATTGGTCTGCTAAGGGGAGCCCCATAAAATATTGAATACCTAGTTACATTTGAATTAAAATAAGATATAAGTAAATCTAGTATGGTGTTTGCCTTTAATATATAATTTCATATGCTATTGCATGTAGCATATGTATGTCCCAGAAATAAGGATGTATTATTTGAGACATACTTCTACTAAAAGATGATCTGTCATTTATCTGAAAGTTCAATTTATGTGGCCATCCTATGCTTTTCTCAGGAGCAGGAGAGAAGACCCTCCTGGGTATTAAAAACTCAATAATGAGTTTTTGTAAAGTCACATTGTGAAATGTATTTGCAAACTGGCAGAAGAAGGAGCCAGCATTAAGTAAATAAACAATGTATAGGAACAGTATGGAAGGAAGTATAGATGAACGTGCCTTCTATTTTAACCTAAACTGAGAAGCAGTTTGACACAATTTAATTAATGGAAGAAGAAAACTCAGAATATTAACTTGTATTTTGTACCAAACACATTACCTTCTCCCCCCCCCCTTTTATCCTAAGAGAATTCTCATTTTCCAAGGACGAATTAGATAACAGCTATGTAGAATTTTTCTCTCCAAAAGTGCTTCAGTCCATGTGTTGAGAAAAAGAACAAAGGAAACACAAAGGTTTGCTCTGCTGAGATTCACAAAGGAGTCAAGAGAATCACGGGAGAGATTGTGTTTGGAATAGCGCGAGAAGTAGGCACCCAGGGAATGAAGACTCATGGGGAGGGGAGAGGTGGCCAGGATTTCTCCAGGAACCGCAGAGGATGTGAGCATCCAGACACATGCCCTACACAAGCATGGCTGTTTAGGAGATGGCCTAGAGACCGTTCTCTCACCTCTCTGAACCTGCTTTGGGATTCTTGTCGTCTTTGCAAAGCAGTAGTTTTGGGTACCTTGGTGGGTAAGAAGTTGTGTACTCCAAGGGCCAGTTCCACAAGGGATGCGCCTCTTTCTCTCCTTCCTCCAAGTAATTGGCTCCGTGGGGAAAATGCATCAGGACCATGACAGTGCAGGTTTTCAGCTACGGAGTGTGACTTGGGAATTGCCCTCATTTCTTTGGTTGAAATTTCTAGGGCCAGAATGACAATATAAGGTTATTCTTCGCTCAGCTAAATGCTCCACATGCATCAAACCTCTGGTTGTCAGATGGAAGGCCTTTGGTGGGTGCAGTGAGAATGTCTTTATGTCACTTTCTTCAGTTTAAGAAGTCACTTATCTACAGACGATTGGACAAGCTTGCTGTTAAGCACCTGCTGTTCATTTTTATTGGAGTGAAAAGACAAAAATGGGGAAAAAGAGAATTAAATAACAATAGTATATAAATTTTATTCTATAAGACCCAAATTCAAATTCTGGTCACATTGCACATATATAAGTCTATGATTTTAAATCACAAAAAAGATCTTATATCATTTTCCTAAAGCCTGTTTTTTTTAATCTCCATATAAACATGTGCTATTCAAATAAGATGGTTCTAATAAGCAAATAAAATTTAAGAAAGGATTTTTTCATAGATTATAACATGGTTTATAAACTTTCATTATGAGTGAAATCAATTTTTCTCATTCTAAATTCCTAAATTGTTGTTAAGCTTTTTCTCATGTTTTATGTCTTTAATGATGACTCAAACTCAGAGAAAAATAGAGCAGTAATGGAAAACAACGAATTCATTAGTTGTCATTTTTATGCTTCTATCCACAAAGGTATAATTCAAATAGAGTTATCAGTAAGATAATAAGGCAGCATATCACAGACAACTTCTCAGAAAAGGGTTTTAGATTTATTATATCAAGATTCTACATATTATTTTTATTTTGCTTTTTGAGAAAGGGTCTCACTGTAAGGGTTAGGCTGACCATCCTGTCTCAGTTCTAACGGTTATGCTGAGGAGACCAACCTTTAGATCTGGGATCTGAGGAGGTCCACATGCAGATGCTCT